AAAAAAAAAAAAAAGAGATTAGAGAATGGAAGAATTATTAGACATGAGAATGTTTGAAAAAAGTAAGCTGTGTAGTCTCTCCTACTCCAAATATCAAACCAAATGGTTGAATTGTATGCTTTCTGAGTGGTTCTTCATGAGTGATCAACTTGACATAGGATGGGTCCTATCAATCACACAGAAATTATTTTTCTAGAGTTTGGAAACCACAAGTTTAGAAGGATCCCTGAACTCACCAATCCTGGGCATGATTACTAGCTTCCTGAGGTGGGAGTGGGCTGGCTAACCGGGATACTTGAATCCAAACCGCATCATATAGGTCTTTCTTCCGGGTATGCACAGTACATGGAACAATCAATGGCATTCCAAAGAGGCTGGGGCGGTTCTTCTGAGATGACAGGAAATACAGTTCCGTCCTCATCTATATGTACAAACAAGAGAAGAGAGAGTTGAGAAGACAGGCCTCTGATTCCTCCTTTTTGTTCTTCTAGCCCTGTCAATAACAGGCATTATCACCATTTTCAATTTAGTCAGTCACATTCTTCTCTATATTTATAAAACCATCTTTATTGACACAAAGAGAATGGTTACAATAGAGTCATTAAAAGGGCTGGAGTATTGCCAATTTTAGAGTTGTTGCCTATTCTATCAAACTTGGGTTTCAGCAATTAATATTCTCAAATGTTTACCAGTTTTCTCTGATAAACATTTCTCACGTATACTGAATCATATATAAAAACTGGTAATAGTTTCATATTTCAGGCTTTGAAACAATTAAGATTCCTTCTTTCACCAGAAAATATGCTAGTAAGCCAGGTGTGATGGCTCACGCCTGTAATCCCAGCACTTTGGGAGGCTGAGGCAGCAGGAGGAGTTTGAGACCAGCCTGGGCAATGAAGGGAGACCCTATCTCAATCAATCAATCAATAAAATTAGCCAAGCATGGTGGCATGCATCTGTAGTACCAACTATTCAGGATGCTGAGGTGGGAATATTGCTTGAATCTGGCAAGTTGAGGGTACAGTGAGCTGTGACTGCATCACTGCACTCTAGCCTGGATGATAGAGTGAGATCCTTTCTCAAAAAAGAAAAAGAAATGAAAAGATGACAGTTAAAAAAAAAAAAGACTCAACTGTAATTTTCCAGGGATAAGCTGTTGATAGTGGTTGTTAGAGCAGCAATTCCCAAAGTTTTGGAGACTCGTGAAACCTGGTAATTCAATTTTCAAGCTTATCCACCTTCCTAAAATCAGCTAAGTGACTTTAATCTTTTTTTTTTTTTTTTTTTGCACTACAAATTTCTATGAGGTTTAATCGTGTATTCAGAGATCTTTTTTTTTTTTTTTTTTTTAAATAAATACAGGATAGGATAAAAGTGAGGTAAAAAATTTAAAAATCTGCTTTGAGTATGTTAAAGAGATTTTAATGATATTCCGTAATATAGAGCTACTGCACAGAATTGTCCTGAAAACGGCTGCTTAATAAACATTTAGTATAATGGAATGGTTGGTGGGAGCTCAAGGTTACTCAAAGGTGCTGAACCTTTGAACATTTAATTCCCTAAGAAGTTTGGTGTCTATAGTTGCTGAACCTTTGAGCATTTAATTCCCTAAGAAGTTTGGTGTTTACTGAGTAGTTAGAAAATCTAAATCAACAATTTATCAAGTCACTAGGGGTTAAGCATTTTAAGTATCATATCTCTGTGAAATAAATCTTCATGATATCTTCATACCTTATTCTTCTTCAAAAGTATCTTGGTTATTTTTTGTGCTTTGTATGTCCACATATGAGAATCAACTTATTAAGTCACATACCACACACACACCAACACACTTAGACTTTGCATTTTTATTGGGATTGTGCATTAAATCATCTGTAGATTAGTTTGTAGAGGACTGATATCTTGAGTCTTTTAATCCATGAACATGGCTTATTCCTTCTAATATTTTAAGTCATCTTTAATATCTATCAATATTTTATCTTCTATATAGATGTCTTACGTGTCATTTTTTTTTTTTTTTTTTTTTT